ACGTTACAACGTCATCCTGAATGTCGAAACATGTAGAGTCGTCAACTTTTTGAAGGCCATAGATAGGCCTAAATAAAATGTTTTTTAATTGTGCACCAGTTTAACGTTGAATATTATTTTTTATTTTAACTTTATACACAAGTGCCAAAATACTATAATTACGTAAGTTAGTCAGATGTTGTGACTTAACCTTAGTTAAGATATTACGTTAGTTAGTTTGAATGTTAAAGATATTCATTATTATTTCTATTTTTTCTCCAAGTCCTGGAAAGTAGGGTATCGCCATCCCATGTTTATCTTCCTGATTAATGTGGTTTTCGTCATTGAAGAGTTTTTGACGGTCTTTTTTACCAATTGTTTGGAATAGTTATTGTTAATAAAAGTCTGTTGATGCGTTATAAGTTCAGTTTCTATGTATTCGTTGCTGCATATTATACGCGCTCTGCATGCTAAGGTTTTAATGATACCGTTTTTAACAGATAGGGGGCAACAGGATTTGAAGTTAAGATATTTGTTCGTATGGGTTGCTTTTCGATAAACAGAAGTTTTTAAGTTTCAGGTCATCGCTATTCTTTATAACCAGTACATCCAGAAAAGGTAAGGAGTTATTTGTCTCTACTTCTAAGGTAAATTTTATAGAAGCGTGTTGATTATTTAGATGTAATAAAAACTCGTCCAAACTTCGTGTGTCATGTTCCCATAACACGAAAACATCATCAATGTATCGAAGACAAAGTCTGAAGATGAAATGGCCGTATAGCCATTTATATAGCATATAAATTTCAACAAAAACAGGAGAAAGAGGAGAGACCGTCTGAGTACCATCCTTCATTTTGAAGTACTTGTAACTCCTAAGAAAATAGCTGGATTCTAAGCCTAATTCTAGAAGTTTGCTAATATTCTTAACTGAGATTAGTGTTCTGTCAAGAAGTGAGATATCCTTATGTAGTAAATCTTCTATAATACCAATAGTATCAGAGAGAGGAACTCTCTTGAACAGGGATACCACATCCAAACTTACAAAAATGTTATCATTATTAACCTCTTTGTCCAGCAAACTGTTGTAAGTTTCTTAAGGAGTATTCGGAATTTCCAGCTAAAGGTTTCGAAATCATAGACAAACTTTTTGCAGAGTTATACATAGGGGAACCAATATAACATACAATAGGTCGTAAAGGTATGTCGGGCTTGTGAATTTTTGGAAACCCATAAAGCGTGGGAGGAGAAAAATGATGAGAAGATAACCGTTGATACTGTTACGTCTCTGGTCGTTGGTTAATTTTCCGTAGAAATTCTTTCCGAAAAACTTCAGTGATACAAGTCCTTTCTTAAATAAAACTAGTTTATTCTTTCTCAATACAACTTTGTAATACACTTAATTTATACAGTCACTTTAATTTAGACACACGCTATAATTCACAACGATTCACACACTTTACCTACGGTCACTACCGCGCTTGACTCAATTGTCCGTCTCTATCTTTGCCTGTCTGAAATTCAATTATCTCTCCCATCACTTCTTGCCGGTCTTATATATACAAAATAGAGGGCATCTGGCAAACACTCGAGCCTTCAGGAACGTTCGAGATACTCATTACGTGTTACCAGAGTCACATGACTTTCGCTGTAGTAACAATACTTATCTTTCGTAATCTCCCCTGTTCTCATAAGTTGTGAAAGAAATTTGTTTAGTTCCTGCATAGTTTGTTTTTTTTAGTGTGGTTTGATTTTAAGAGTATGTATACCGGATCAGATAATAAATCGGTTACCTTCTTTTCATAATCGTCTTTATTCAAAAGGATAGTAGAATTTCCTTTGTTCGCTGGTAAAATCATAATACTGGTATCTTGTTTATGGTTGCGAAGAGCTTTACATTCTTCGAGACCGACGTTATTTACGGGTTTTTGTTATGTCGAAACACTTTTTTAATTATTTCATTGATTTTAAAACAAACTTAAGTTGCAGCAGGTTTTATATATTGTTTATAACACTGCTACCTCTTAGGCCTAACATTTATGATAATAATCATGTAAGCTGCAGCTTTCTTCCCCCTTATTTCTTTTAATTTGTCCAGTTCGGATTCAAAATTAGAAGCGTGTAAAAATGCCGTTTCTGATCTATCTTTTATCTTCCACAAGTCACTGTGAAAGATGTTTTTCGTTCAATACCAGAACTAACCAGTTAGACTAGATGATGAGAAACGAAAGTTTCTCTGAAAGGCGATTTATATATGTAACATGTCGTTTTAAAAGATATAGTTGAGTAGGGCCGTACGCAGGAATTTCAATTTGACCGCTATCGGGGATGGGGGTAAGTTAAACACACAAATATTACATACAAGCCACATCAACACATGCGCGCACATCATGCGCACATATATAAGCAGCATTACACTCATCAAAATAACCTAGTCCATATGTTTGGAGTTAATAGGGTCCCGGCCTTTTCTTGCCCCTTCTTCTGTGTCCCCTTGCAGTTGAGAAATGCAAAAACAAATATCCAAAGTTTACGTGATTGTTATTACAAATATTAGGCCTATTAGTTTCTAATGCTTTCCTAGCTCTCAGCGTTTAACCGAAACTTCTTACTTTAAGCACATGGGAAAATCGAAAATGTAACATTACTGCCTGGCATTAAATGTCTAATGAACAAAATCTCGTCAGCATTTTCTGCACAGCAGAGAACGAAAAAACGTTGCAAATCAATGAGGCTTTACTGTTTAAACATTTAAAACGTGGGATTAATGTTACATCTTCATCTTTTCCATTAGACTTCTTACTTGTTATTTGCTTTTAATATATTAACATTATCAATGTGACTTGGAGCTGTTTTCGTTTTGTACTTTCGTGCGTCACAGTAGTTATAAAACATTTTTGAAGAATAGATCTTTTAATATTGTCTTTGTGAAAAGCTGGCTACCAAGAAGTGGGAAATTACCAAACAGAAATAAGATTTAAAATACAAATATGACGTTGAATGACGCACGAAATAGTTAGAACGCTATTGGCTATTCATCCATTGGGTTTACCTTATATGGTATAAAGCGTTTCCGGCTTGCGACAAGAGCTGTACGTCCCTGTATAAAGCTAAAAAACTTAAATAGAACTCAATTTACTTGAATTTTAACACTTTAAAACATACTCTCTCTGAAACTTTGCAAATATTTAGTCTAGTCAAGTTACAGTTTTACCTTTGGATTATCTATGACTACCTCATATATTAGTGAATGAAGATTTGTACAACACAATTATATCAGGTAATTTATAACAATTCATTTTGTGAGTTTGTACATTCAGTATTTGACTGCTAACTTAGATAATTTTATGGGTTTAACGATGGTACATATTCTACTCAGGATGTAGTCTTTGAACTAAAACGGATGTGATATTGCCCTATTAGTGTTAAGCTTTAGCACTTTGTTTTTGAACTTAATGCGTTAAAGGAAATAGTTCTCAGATTTGTTATAAAAACTTATTAACAGAAATAACATTTCGTATAGAATTAATTATTAAATGATATCATTAAATATGTTAAGCCAACAAGAAACAGTGAAAAAATAAGATTTATCATCAAAAGAGATTGATTTAGAAAAATGAATATCAGTGCGCTAATCACCTTTAAGGCCTCGCAGAGTGGCGGTTTTGTTTACCGAATTCGTCGCAGTATAGTAGAGGAAACGTGTGTGAGTGGGTCGTCAACGAAAGAGTGAAGTATTTAACGGCTACATTGAACGCTTTGTTGATATTTCAACTTATGATTTTATATTAAGATATTATTATCTTCCAAAGACAAAACTCTGGAAACTATAGTTCTTTGTGATCTTGCTTTATTCCCGGGGTAGAATAAACGTATTGTAAGGCATTAGGTTAACGTCGAACGAGTAACATCGTTTTAAATTTTATTAGAATAGTATAAGCTTAACCGTTATTGTTGCTTCTTGGCCTTGTTTTGTAGATATTATTTTTGTAAATAATATGTTATAGTATTAGTAATAATATTACAAAGTTGTAATAGTATTAGTACAAGTAGGAATTTAATTTTAAACTATATATCACATCAGAAAATCAAGTATTAATATAATTATAACACTATTATTGAAAATTTCATTTAGAAATACAAGCTTATTTCTTAGCATATTTACTTTAATAAAATTTAAAAATAAAAGTTAATTTCATTTGTAGAGGACAATAATTGAGTTTTAAAATTAAAACAACATTTTAATTAAATGATATCTCGTTACATTACTTCATGTGAACAGTAGAGCACTATTATTATTAAGCTTTAATGGATAAGCTTAATTAACGATCAAGAATTGAAAAATGTAATAAAATTAAAAACTTCATTAAGTAAAACGGTTCGTTTAAAGTTAATATTCAGAATTCACACTTATTTGATACTAAAAGTACATCATCGATTTAATTTTAAGCTGTAAGATTATAAAACAATTACTTAAGTCAGTCTTTCATCTCTAGTCTTAAATTTGAAATAATGAAAATGAAATGGTGCAAGTTTTCTTATTGGTGATTATCATTGGTGTACGTGTGATTTTCGTCATATAGTTTCGTAACTAAACTATAATAGTATATTCTTACACATAGTCTTTCGAAGTTTTAAACAGTTTCGTTATAAACTCTTCGAACAATTTAAGATGTATCTGGTTCAAACTTTAACTTAGTTTAAGTTTAACTAACTTGCTATTACGCTTGTGTTTTCGAAGTTTTAAACAGTTTCGCTATAAACTCTTCGAACAATTTAAGATGTATCTGGTTCAGACTTTAACTTAGTTTAAGTTTAACTAACTTGCTATTACGCTTGTGTTTTCGAAGTTTTAAACAGTTTCGCTATAAACTCTTCGAACAATTTAAGATGTATCTGGTTCAGATTTTAACTTAGTTTAAGTTTAACTAACTTGCTATTACGCTTGTGTTTGACATATTTTCATTTATAAATCAAAACAGGAGACACGTGACAAAACGAAGACTAGTCCATAAAGATAAAAGGATAAGCACAGTTGGTGAAGTCAGTAAATCGGGAAAATTTACCAATACATCGAAAGGTAGAATGGAAAATTAGTAGCGAAAAACAAAAACGACGAACGTTTACACCTTTCACTGCAGTGAGTGTTATTTTAATAGTTTCAGTTATCAGCTTTTCCTCATGAATGTGAACGTACGACCACCGCGTCTTAATCTTTACGATGCACGTCGGAAACAAGCACGCACCTTTGAAAAAACATCAGAAATCAGGAGCGTAGGAAGTCTTAGCCCAAACCTTCAACCTCCTACCCCTCCAGTTTTCCCTGCTACTAACGAGCCATTTGCAACTAGTCGGGTGGGTTCCTATTTATTATTGGGACAACAAGAAGGTTCGACACTGTATCGGTGTATTAATGTACAAACCCATGAAGAATTGGTTTGTAAGGTAAATGTGTTTTCTATTATTTTGCTCTAAAGTATAATGAGGTATTTTATAATATTTGACCTGAGCTCATATAAATTATCTATAAAAAAAAAAGTAGAATATAATTTTCAACTTTGTAAATGTCTCCTTAAACTTTACAATAACTGAATAAGATAGACAAGATTGATGTTTAGTTTAACTTAAGAACGCTACGGGAAGTGCAAATTGCCAAAAAGTTGTTATTAACTTCAGTGGGCATGGAGATACGAAGAGCCGGTAGTTGTAAATTCGGGTAAAAAAAAAAACATTTTCTTAAGCGGTGAAATAGTTTCCGCAAGTTGTGGAAAGTCATGGAAATCTTTGACAGCGTTAGAAAATTTGGGGTAGATTGGACGCTAACTAAAGCATCTGTAATTTCTGTTTTTACTTGCGTCTTTTGTTATAACTTAAGTTATAAATTATTGAATTTAGAAAAAAAGAGTTGTAAGGTAATAAAGTTTTAACTTTTTCTTTTTGTATGTTACACCTATACATTTTATCGCAATGATTTTTCGATGATCTTTTATTTTTAAATTAAAATTCTTTCTGTGACAGATCTTACCAGTAGCTATAATTTTAACAGTTCCTGTTTCGTGAAGTTGTTCACGAACTACCGGCATTTGGCAGTTCCCGTTTAACGGTGCGTAAGTAGCGCCAAAACAAGGGAGGGAATATTTGTTTCTCAACGATTAAGTAAATGTGTTAATAGCTTTTTCTTTTCGAACGTAACCGTGTTGTAACGAAAGAATATCAAAATTAAGATTATTTTGTCGTCATATCAGGGGTATTTTCATCAATAATAGTACGTGAATTGATTGAACGATTTCTATACACTGGAATACCGGTTATTTTTATATTTACTTCCGGTAATATTAAAGCTAGTAATTGTCATTATCAGCTAGTCTACATTATATTAAGTAGGTAAATGACAAATTTTAGTTATATGTAGAATGTGGTGAAATTAAGTGTCGCAGAATCTAAAAACACACTGCAGGCATTCTTAAGACTCGTTTTTAACCCTAAATATATGCAGTGATTTCAAATTGTTTACGTTTTATTTATGTAAAACGCTGCTATGCACTCATAAAGTCATTTAAAACATTCTTACTTTCCAGATAGTATCTAGAAACGTGTATGAAAAAACTTTAGCGGGGTACTTCAGGTTGGATGGCCATCCACACATCAATAAAGTGGAAGAGGTTTTGGTGGGTCTTAATCGAACCTACATATTTTTCCCTCGTTCCTACGAAGACTTGCACTCTTACGTACGCTCTAAACGTCGGCTGAAAGAACAAGAAGCTATGCTGCTATTTCGTCAAGTAGTTCAAGCTGTTCAGGCATGTCACGATTCC